TCACAGCAAACTGAAACAGACATTGGTGTCCCTCAGGGGTCCATATTGGGGCCAATTCTGTTCCTTTTCTATATTAATGATTTGGATAAACTTTCTGTACCTGCATCCTTCACAATGTACGGTGATGATACGTCGTTAATGAAGTGACAAATGCAATGAAGTGTTGACTTCTTTGAATGAATGGTTTTCAGCAAATTACTTGTTTTTAAATACTTCGAAAACGCAAGCACTGAGATTTCACCATATCCAAAAAGAATGTAATGAGTTGTCATTCCAATCAAACGAATCGAGTCCATCGATCTCAACTAGTTCGAATCAAACAATTTTCTTAGGATTACGAATAGATAAAAATCTCAATTGGAAGGCTCACTCCCAATACCTAATCTCAAAATTGAATTCGATTGCCTTTCAATTTAGAAATTTGCGGCATGTACTCAATATTGATCAATTTATACTACAGCTCTACTATGCACAAGTTGAAAGTAGACTATGATACGGTATGATATTTTGGGGTTTATTTACCCTAGCAAAAGATATCTTCGTGGCACAAAAACGAATTTTACGATCAATGTCGGGGCTTTCGCAGACTGATTCATGCAAAGATATATTCAAGAGACTGAAAATATTAACATCACCATGTCTGGTCATATCAGAGTTGAGTATGCTAGTTTTCGACAATAATGATGAAATTTATGTGAGGAACAAACAAAATCATAGTTTAATTACAAGACAAAAGAATGATTTTTCAATTCCATTCGGAAAATTCAAAATGACTCACCAATCTCCCAGTCATATGGCTCCTAGAATATACAATGCTCTTCCTTCAAATGTGAGAAACTGCATGACAAAACAATCATTCAAATATAATTTAAAATTCTTTTTGACAGAACAGTGTTTTTATAAACTGGATGAGGACATAAGGAAGCTGTGTGCAAGATGGGTGCCGCGTTTGCTCACACAAGAGCAAAGACAGTGTCGTGATGTTTCATTTGAGTGTTTAGCAAAGTTTAGGAACAACAAAGCAGAATTCTTGCGCCATTACATAATCATGGAAGAAACATGGTTCCATCACTTTACATCCGAGACAAAAGAACAATCAAAACAGTAGATTCAAAAGGGAGAACCGGCTCCAAAGAAGGCGGAGACCGTTTCATCTGCAGGCAAGGCCATGACATCGGTTTTTTGGGATGCCGGTGGGATAATTTTCATTGACTATCTTATTGCAACGTTTGAGTGGAGAAATGAAGCAGAAACGGCCGCGTTTGGCTAAAAAAAGTGTTATTTTATCAAGACAATGCACCAGTTCACGAATCCATTATCGCAATGACCAAAATTATTGGATTTAAGTTTGAATTGCTACCTCATGCACCCTATTCGCCAGATTTAGCCCCTTCGGATTATTTTCTGTTTCCAAAACTTGAAAAAATTGCTCAGTGGTCAAAGATTTTCCTATCATGAAGAAGTGATGTCGGCAGTTATTGGCTATTTTGAGGAGCAAGACAGTTCTTATTATAAAAACGGTATCAAACTTATTAAACGTCGCTGAGAAAAATGTCTAGAGCTGCAAGGAGATTCTGTTGTACAATAATTTTTTTCCCCAAAATTTTTGAGTTTCCTTTGTTAGGTGGGTTACTTCTGGGACCACCCTCGTAACACTTTTTCAATCTGTAATTAAAAATGTTTAAGTCTGTCACTTTGCAAATCTGTCAAACAGTAGTTTTGAAATCCATCGACTGGCATTTTTAAAATTGGTCACTTTTTAAAATCAAGTGATATATAGTTTCAAAATATGACAAGTGACACTTTCTGAATCTGTCAATAACATTTTTCCACGATGAAATTGAAAGTATGTAGTCGGGGACTTTGGCTATATTGAAATTCATACACTGTCAGAGATTTATTATTAAATGTTGCAGCTGTTCGACGACCTCATTAGGTCAATTACTTTGGAGGTCACATATACTAGCGTGCATGCAATAGGACTGTTATTTCTTGAAATATGTGATGGAACTGGCCGATATTTGAGGAAAATCCATAATGTATTTAAAAAACACTTTATTGTGAGATTTTATAGTGAAAATATCACAAAACTTCCTTCCTTTCTTTGGAAGACTCCCTCATCCTTCTTTTTTTTTGTATCAAGATGGAGTAGTAGAAAGCCAAAAACTTTCTTTCCCAAAAATAACCCTACACTCTTTTATTCTATGAAAAGACGTTTTCCCTGTTTGTCCAATATAAAGTTTTGGACGAGAACCCCAAGTTACAAGGTAGATATTATTTGTTTGAAATCAGTTGAAAATGTTTCGTGGTGCATTTCATTAGTTAAAACTTCCATTGTCTAATATGATATAAATTGATTTGAAATCCCTGAAAGAATCCGTAGAAAATTGAAAAAGATTAGCTGAAAATTAACAATTATATTGAGCGAAAAAAGTGAAATTACAATGAAATAAAAATACAAGCAACAAACAAGCCAGGACTATCTCACTTCAAGAACGATAATGAGCATCATATGACATTGATATACTTTGGTAAACTCGCTAGTTCTTGAAAAAAAAAGACTTTGACGTGTCTTATACAGGGTGTTTCAAATTCGATCCTCACCATTGGGATCTCGGAAACTCTGAGAGATACGAAGATGGGTAAATTGGGGCAAAGTTGCCATATGTCGTTGAGAAAGTTCCGAAATTCCGAGTATATCCGAAGATATTCGGAATAAACAGAAATTTCGGAAAATGGTTTTCATTTTTTTCTGGCTTTGTTTTTCAAATGATTTGAAAATAAATTGCACTTACACATTGCCACTTTTTCCCTGCTACATATTGGTGTTTTCAGATTTGATATCCGACGTTTCGTCTTCGATATCCGACGTTTCGTCTTCCAGCCACCATCATCAATTTTATTTTTTCATATGGGCACTACATTGGATTTTTTCTGTTTTGAATAGAATCAGATTTGACATTTTCAATGATGTATCATAAGTTATCATTCTTTTTCGAAAAATTGGAGATATTGTAAAAAAATTAATTCTTATCATAATAGGCTTTGATTTCATGTTTCTAAATTTGACTTTCAATTTGTTACACTAAATGACATTTTGTTATTGTGAAAGTCATTGAATGTTTGGCGAAAAATGACTTTCACGAATGAAGAAAGGAGATCGAAAAACAGTGTTAGGACGTTGGAAATGTACCTGTTACCTGAACTTGTACCCCGAAAGACGACAAACACATTGAACTATGTTCAAGTTATTGGATCAAAATCTCACCGAGTTTAGTTCGTTTGGAAAGCCACCTCATTCATCAAAATTTGGTAAATGAGGTGTGTATGAGGTAAATTAGACATTGTGTCCTTTTTAATGAAAATAGAACTTTGAACAAATAACAATAAACAACTAAAATGTAACGACAAATGTAAATCACAGCAAATGCTCAAAATGCTGGCCTTGTTCGTGATAACACAACTGTACCCTTCTTCAAATATTATTCACTGTACGATTAATTTCTCCATTCCTCAATCTTCCGAACTCTCTAACAATGCTGTGTTGAAGGTCCTCAATATTTTGATATTTCCTCTGGCCATAAACTCTATTTTTCAGTGTACCCCATAAGAATGTATCCATAACACTTAAGTCTGGAGACCTTGCTGGCCACCTCACCGGCCCATTATTCCCTATCCATTTATCACCAAATGACACATTCATTTCGGAGGAAATTTGACGTGTAGATTTCCCCGGGTTCATGTTTATCTGCAAATAATAAATTTTTATTGGAATGGACACAATGTGTAACTTACCGCATACATACCTCTTTTATCAAATTTTCTTTAGTTTCCTGGTCCATTCTGTCTCCGTATTTTTCCTCGGCTTTTCTACTCGGTGAGATTCTGATCCAATAACTTGAACATAGTTCGATGTGGTTGTCGTCTTTCGGAATACAAGTTTAAATACATTTCCGATGTCCTAACACTGTTTCTATCGTATTTGTAATACATTTGTATATCATAGATATCTCTTTTTTTTCATTCGTGAAAGCTATTTTTGCCAAAAATTCAATGACTTGTACAATAACAAAATGTCATTGAGTGAGATAACTTATGATACATCATTGAAAAGATAAAATCTGGTTCTATTCAAAACAGACAGGATCCAATGTAGCGCCCATAAGAAAAAATTAAGCTGACGATGATGAAGACGAAACGTCGGATAGCAAATCTGAAAACACAATTATGTAGCAGGAAAAAGGTGGCAATGTGGAAGTGCAATTTATTTTCGAATCCTTCTAAAAACAAAGCCAGGAGAAAACAAAAACCATTTTCCAAAATTTCTCAATGGCATATTGTTAGTCAGGTCTCCCTTAGTTTCGTAAATCCCAATAGTGAGTATCGAATTTGAAACACCCTGTATACTGAACAGTGTAAGGCAGATCGGATAGATCAGGAGTATATGAGTTGACTTGGGGTTCTCGCCCAAAACTTAATACTGGCCAAACGGGGAGAATAAAAGATAATAGTACTTAATTGTGTGTGATGGGTATCACATATTATTTTAGGAAGGGGAAGATTTTAAATCTGATATTTTGGAATGCTTCGAAATTAATACATGTGGGTACTGAGTACCTATCTATTGTAATCGATAGTTGAAAGGAATAATAAATGTTTTATTTTATTTCAAACTCTCAAGAATTCTCAATCATTTGGTTCCTAGATATAGTTGGAAATCAGATATTGATATCCTTATCATGATATTCAAGGGGGAACGGGTTTTATAATGTTATCATGGTAACTTCATTATGGCTATTGAAATAAAAAACTGTTTATTATCAAAAATGATACAAATCTTGAACCCTAGGACTTGTGAAGCATAAACATATTCCCAATAATAATTGTAACTTGATATTTTTATTTCCGTGTATAAACTGCTCATAAACCCAAGAACTATGCGAACATTTTCAGAACATATTACGTAAGCCCCAACATAGCTGAATGAAAGAATATTTCAGATCCTTCGGGGGTCAGCGGTAGCATGGCTGCAAGTTCGACGATGGGCGGCCAAGGAGGCGGAGCTCTAACTTTGTGCTCGGATGATCGGAACGCTGGGTTGGCCGCCTGGCAGATGGGTGGAGCGCATAGCCAAGCCTTAGCCACTCCCACTCTTTGGCAGTACCCTGGTGAGTAGATTTGAGTAGTTGTTTTTTTTACCATCTATCTTTTCAAGACCTGTTTTTGTACAGCGAGGCAGTGTAGTTATTTTTTTCTGTGAGCATGACCTTGTTATGGTTCGTTCTGCGTAAGTTATAAGCCGCTGTAGTCAGTAGTTACTAGACTGGTATTTAAATGAGTAATAATTTTGGGATCATGGGGGCCGCATTCCTTCTATTCTGGTTGTAATGGATTAATTTGACTTTGCATATTTATTCAGTAGTTTATTTGGAGTTGAATATCTTAGTCCAATAAAATGAGGATTTAAATTACCATGCAAAAGGCAAGCCTGCATTTTTCAATATAAGTTGATTTTAGCATACATTCAAAGGATTTATTGTTAAAAAATGTTGAATTTCATTTAGGGGATAGAAAATGAATAAAAACTACCCCAAAAATCCTTTTTTTAAATATATCTCGAAAGCATAAAAATATATGAAAAAAAGGTCGAAACAATAAANGTATTTTAGTAGCTTGATTTTTTCAAATAAAAATATTGGCGACCACTTTTTGACTGACAACCTGTCATAAATTTATTTTCCTAATCATAAATGTATGTAAACATTTGAGTTTAACTACGCTATGAACATAGTGATTTTGCTGCGAGATCCTGTACTACAATTTCATCATAATATTGAAGTTTCTAATGCAAAAATATAGGTATAGTGTTTTCGGAGATATTACCGAATTGACATTTCAATAATAAAACAAGCAGGTACAAAAGTACCTGAAATGGATTAGTTTACAACGTTTAGTCCAAAGACAATTCGGTAGGCGAGCTCTGTTGGAAAAAATATTTATTTATTTCCAATTTGTCCCCTTCAGAGTCGTCCACCTCAGTGTTATACACTTGTGCCAACGCTTTTTCCAATCCTCGAAGCAGTTCTGATATACCCTTTTGGGATGTCCTTGAGCTGTCTCACAGCGATTCGGTGTTGCATAACGTCGTCCTTTCATGAGTCTCTCCAATCTTGGAAATTGGAAAATGTCGCAGGGGGGCAAATCTGGTGAATAAGGTGGCTGAGGCATGGTTAGGGTATTACGAACAAGCAATGACCAGTGAGCAGGTGCAAAAGCCATGGATTGTTTTTCAAAAATATCGAATGTTTTCTCTGTATTGCTTCTCGCAAGATAATACTCCTTATTGACCTTACGACCTTGTGGAAAGAACTCCTGATGCACAACGCCACGATAATCGAAGAAAACGGTTAGTAAAACCTGCTTGGGATTTGATCGAATTTGCCGTGCTTTTTTTGGTATTTTTGTAAATTATGCCCTGAAGAAAATACCGCCGTCCGCCACTGATATCTTTGAACCAGTTGTGACGTGGCTAAGAGCGTCGCTGCCGTTCTAGATGTGGCGAGAATAATGCCACTGGCTTCCATGGAATTTCGATGAATTTTCTACTGTCTTCGATTGCCAAATATAAACGTGATCCACTCGACTATCGGGACAGTCAAGTTTCGCGAACAGTGCGGTGCAAAGCGATCTTATAAAGTTGAATTAGTACATCGTCGTTTCCTACAACTTCTCTCCTATAGATCAAACAATATCTATCCACCAATTGGATTTCCCCATGATGCATTGTTAGCTAGACATGCTATGAATAGCTTGAGTTGCCGTCGTGATTGTCACTCCACCATTTTTCTTTTGATTAATTTAATTATTGACCCACATATTCTGCAAAAACTTATTTTCAATGTACCTAGACCACCAACCTCTAGAGTGGTTAATCCTTTTTAACACGCTTTCATTAGCTTCACCTGTATGTATGTATGTTTGTTTGTAACTCTCAAACTCGGGATCTGTATTTGACAGAATTATCGACATTATTGCAAAATATAAACGTGATCCACTCGACTATCGGGACAGTCAAGTTTCGCGAACAGTGCGGTGCAAAGCGATCTTATAAAGTTGAATTAGTACATCGTCTTTTCCTACAACTTCTCTCCTATAGATCAAACAATATCTATCCACCAATTGGATTTCCCCATGATGCGTTGTTAGCTAGACATGCTATAAATAGCTTGAGTTGCCGTCGTGATTGTCACTCCACTATTTTTCTTTTGATTAATTTAATTATTGGCCCACATATTCTGCAAAAACTTATTTTTAATGTATACCTAGACCACCAACCTCTAGAGTGGTTAATCCTTTTTAACACGCTTTTATTAGCTTCACCTGTATGTATGTATGTTTGTTTGTAACTCTCAAACTCGGGATTATTGCGTGATCTATTCGCGGGCAGATGGCGCTGTACCTACGTAACCTCTTTGATATTTCGACATTATTGCTTGATCTATTCGCGGGTAGATGGCGCTGTACGTAACCTCCTTGATATAATTCGCCTTATTTGTAACCCTAAATATAGTTTAAAAAGACTAAAAAACACGCTTCGTCCCAATGGTAGAGCCCAGGAGATTCAGGAGAAAAAACCTTCGGTATTTTGGAAAAACAATTCATGACTTCTGTTCGTAACTTTTTGACCAAAAACAACACAGTAATTATGCCTTAGCCACCGTATTCACCAGATTTGACTTCCTGTGACTTTCTTGGTCTCAAGATTGAAGAGATTCATTAAAGGACGGCGTTTTGCAAAGATCTCAAAATGAACCCAACCCTCCCCAAATATCAACATGTTATGAAGAAACTCTTTGTACAGTTTTAATTTTGTTGTTTATGTTCAGCATTATCTTATTTTTAAAATTGAAATATAAAAAAATGCATTGATTATATAAAAACGCCATCATGTCTCTCGGTGTATGTATATGGGAAGAATGATAAAAAATTCTCGTTTTGTCGTTCCTCGCCTCCATTGTGTTTGAATGAGCCGCCACACTACAAAAGGTTATGATTATCTTCCACCTTATAACCTGCCTGGTAAATAATTATAGTTAGAAAACCAGCAATTTTTCGGGATGGGCGTTACAAGGGGTAATAAAGTCGTACATAAACGTATTCATGTGGAAATAGGCATAATTCTTTTTTTACTGTCCGATAAAAATAGGCAGATTTATAGGCGATAAAGGGTTTGTGTTATGTTGTGAACAGTATCGTTGATATAAGTTATTTAGGATTAATCTGGTCATTCAAGAACAATTTTGTACTTCAGTAGGTATACTTGTATTCGTACCTGGGGAGAACTTCTGTACTTTTATAGGAGCTGGAATAAAGAAACAAGTATGTAAAATTAAATAACAACGATTTTGAAAAGTTGGCCGAAATGAGACTGTCAGTGAACTGATTTTTTCAATTTGATTATTTTCCTGAACCGATGAAATCGAGAAGAAACTGAAGGCTAGGCCATCAAAACAAAGTTTTATAGCGCTGAAACTGACAGCAATAAAATCAACATTATTCTTGAATCGTAAACATGACTCTCGGCCTTGTTATGCACTATAATCACAATTTTAATCACTGTCACTGTCCTTATCAAAAATCAAATACTCAAATATGATTGCGACAAAATGTTCAAACTTTACAGAAATTCACGGGCTTTATTTGATATTATAATTATTACAGTGACGGGACCCTAACTCTCTAACAACTCAAAATATATATGTAAATCAAATAAAACTCTCCAATGCACTAAAGAGACTGAAATGAAAAACGAATTGCCACTTTTCACTGATACACATAATCTTAAACGAAAATTAGACAATTCTTCGATTCAAACTCCACCTTAAATACCAACAATTTATTTGTGATATTCAGAAATTACGGAACGTAGGTACAGTTAATGCATCTCCGGTGCAGACTTTGCGGTCTCATGTCGAGGCACGATATATTTTAACAATGAAATCCCATACGAGAATACGAGTTCAGTAATTTGCATACTCTATTCATATATTCGAACAATGTGTCTTTAATAATTATTCAAGCATATGTTTTGTTGAAACAAAACTAAGTAAAAACATGCTGATATTGGATTCTTCATTAGTTTATACTTCACAGTAAATTTATATTTTGAATTTTTCGTTCATTACTTTTGGTTCTTTAGTGAAGAATTTCAATTTCGAATAGCCTTACAAAGTCAAATGGTATTAAATCAGGAGAGTAAGGTGGTCACTTATTGAAATTACGAAGTTCAATCCATCTATCTGGATAATAAGTTTTGTAAATCAACTGAAGCTTTGAGGAAATGAATGTAGTCTTTACAAAACAACTATACATTTTATTTATCTACTAAATATTATTCTCTGATTTCCAGGAATATTCCTAGTGGGTTAAATAGGAAAATTAAAATAAAAAATGTTATTAGTAAAAAGAACCTCTAAAAAACTCATTTTGATAGAGTTTGTGATTATTTTATGTGTCAAAGATACAGTAATAGCAGAAGCACAAATTTGAAAATGAAGAAAAAACGAAAGCATAAATTTTGGGAACACTCAAATTTGGAGGAATCCCAACGTTGGAGAAAAAAGTGATGAACGAATCTCGCTTGTTCAAGAACTAGTGAATAGATAGTATTTGCATTTTGTTTGTAAAAATTCACTCCAGAGTTATCTGCAGCGAAATTGACTCACACAAAAAAATACTTGCAAAGTAATTACAGTCGCATTACTACTATTTAATGTATTCTTTGGTCAGTTTTATTAATAGCGAACTAAATTTGTTGTGGAATGTTAGAGAAGGTCATATTTTCCTTTCAGTAGGTAATGATAATGATTCAGGAGGCCCATTTTGAAGTGTAACGAAAAATTATATTTATAACTCCCCGTTAGAAATTGCAAGCTTTCACTACGCCATAATAAAACTGTCAGCTTTTCCTCAGGAAAATCCCAGTAGGTACTCACAGTGCGATTCATAGTTTCAAGTTTTCAATAAGAATAGTGTAGACCAAATGTTTAATTTAAATAATCATTTTCACAAAAATCCCGTAGTTTCAGATCTGGTGACGTAGGTGTTGCTATTACCGAATGGAAGTACCTCGAACGATCGTAATAAACGTCATGTGTGGCTAGAGTCGATAGAATTTTTAGGGAAGAGTCAGTTGCAAAATCTCCTACAATTCCCACTTATAACCATTTTAAGAAACTGGATACCTATGGGTGTTGCTCAGGTGATAATATTTCATGACAAATTTGTGTCATCTTTGAAAATTGTTTCTTGACAAATTGAAGTCCTTTAAAAGTTACGGTAAAATACCTGACCTGTTTATGACACAATCGTAGGCAATTTTTCTGGTAGATATTATTGAGTTGAGAATGATATTGAAGAGTCTTAGGGGTTCTGGTAGTTGAACTGAAGTTCCAAACTCTCACGGCTGGAAATGAAATTTGAACTTTGGTTATCCGGGCTGAGTAGCCGTGTTCCAATTGAGTGTTTGACTCCGAATGTTTCGATGGGCATCCTCGGCGATGGTTGACAGCAATGCGTTGTATTTTCCTCGTTGGTAGACTCGTTAAAAATTGATGGAAACATGGATCTCTAGAAAATGTCAACAATCATAAAATTCACCACAGGTTTGTCAGATGCGACTATTGTGTGTGTGTGTGGTTAAAAATAGCACCTACACGTTTTCACATATAATCTGTTTTTTGTTGCTGGGTTAGTTTATATTGCAAGGGGTGCTAAACAATGTTGCCGATTATTATTTTTCGTTGGTAGATCTTCTTAATATTCTCATAGTGATATTTTTCGAAGAGAAAATATACTTTTTTGTGGATCACAAAAATTCCTGGATTACATTCCCTGCGGCGGATTCAAACTTGATATGTAGAACAATTTTAGTCATCTTCTGATGTTGCTTAGGTATAATTGGTTAACGAAATGCGCGTCAAGAAACAGTTGGATAGTTGGATTATATAGTAAAATTTTCAGAATTCGGTAAGTTAACCTTTATAATGAATGTGCCGTATCTCAAGAGGTTTTCTTTCAACAGATATGTATGATGAATACATATCTAAGTTTTCCATACAATAATATCCTCTAATTCAATCTATGATTTCGGCAAGCTTTTTGTACAAAACTTCAGTAAAATACATTTCCTACAGTAAACATCATCGATCACCTATCCTTTTCATTGCTGAAATTGTCTTTTCAGTTTGTTTTTACCTCGACTACTCAATCATAAGGGATCAAGATATTTTTATCATTTGTGGTCTTCATTTTAAAAAATGTGATTTACCTTGCTGCAAAAGTTTAGAAGTCAAAAATTGAAAACCGTTAGTTTTTGATCACAAATATTTAATTATTTATCAAATGATACACTTGTGCCAGTGCTTTTTCCAACCCTCGAAGCAATACCGGTCGTTTTCTTCGTATTGTTTGTAGCAAGCGGCTCATAATTCCAAGATAATGGTCCTTATTGACCGTACAACCATGTGGCAAGAATCCCTGATACTCTACTGTGAGCAAAACATCGAATTTGGTGTGCTTTTTTGTTTTTGGCAATAACTCCTGAGCGATGCTCATGCGACGGTATTTTGGTCAAAATTCAGCAATTTTGGAACGAACTTCGCTGCCGCTACAAAAATTTCCAAAAAATTGCATGGCATGTGCCAACCGATATGCCGACATCCTCAGCAACCTCTCTAATAGTCATTCGACGATTATCCGTTAAAACTTTCTTCTCTTTCTCAACATTTTCATCAGTTGTTACTGTGCTGGGGTATCCAGAGTGAGCGTCGTCATTTACATCTTCTCGACCTTCTGTGAAAATATTGTACCACTTGTAAACATGTTTCTGAGTCAAAGTACAATCACCGTATGGCACTGTCAACATTTCAAGTGGTTTTGAGTACTTAATTTCATTTTTTACACAAAATTGGATACAAAATCTTTGATCAATATTTTTCGATAGCAGAAAATCGCCGAACAAACTGAACATGCTCAACAGCTGTGAACATATGTCCGAGACGAATGCACCAACAGAAAAAAATAAAAAACTCTAATCGAATTTTATTGTATGTATGTGGCTGTCGTATACGGTAACAAGACGTTGACCAAAGAACACGCCAATCAATTTCATATACCAATTCATGGAACACCCTGTATAAACTACTCATTTTCCTTACTCTTCACCCTCCGATACTCCTTTTCCTACCCAATTTTTGTCATTTTAACACTTTTTATTTTTTGTTATAGCGCCTCTTCCGGTGGAGCCGATGGTTCCACTTCCAGTACCATTACCTCCTGTGGGGTTCCAACTAGTTCGCGATCACTCAACAGGGGGTCTACTCCTCATACCTTCAACCGGATTAGGTTAGTTTATTTTGAACTTTCCCGAACATTACAAAACACTCATCTCAGTTAACACTAACATCACCTACGAATTTCGATTGGAAATACGAAATATTGTTGCCATATCACAAAGTTAATTTTTTTTTCCTAAATATGATGGTAAATTAGTCCACGTTTTAGGGTTTCAGGTGTAACTCGGACAGCAATTTCAGTTGAATATTATGAGGAGATTGATAAAGGAAATTAAAACTTTATCCAAAAACTAATATAAAACTGCTAACTACGACGAATTATCACAAGTCCTCCTTTTCTATTTGAAAAAAAAAGGTACACCTTCTGGGAGACGAGTGAGGCAACACAGTTGTCTTATTTATCAGACAGTCTAAAAATGACGCCTTTTTACATAAATTTTGTCCGATCTTGATATCTTATTCTGTTCAAAAGTTACTAGAGTGGGGGCACTATTTACATCCTCACTGTAAATGAAATTAACTACAACAATAACATATTCATTGAATATGTGGTAACACATACTGAACAGGGTTCGTTTCTATTTTATCGACGAAACATTTTTATCCAAATAATACTTTTAGCCATGTATTCAGAGCATGATTTCAGTAGGATTTGGCGTATCTTCAATTCGTCTGTTAACCTCACATTTGCCTTCAAACTAATCCTGTATATTATTGATTGATATTCCATTTGCAGAATCACTCCAACAAGCTGTCGTTTGGCCAAGTTACCAACAACCGTCACCCGTCTTATTACCGTCATTATCGCAATTACCCCCTCCTCCCCTTCAGTTATTATCTTCAGCGTCATCTGACTATCTGTCAAGCAGTACGACCTTACATCAACATACACAAACGCACAGTACTAGATTGGTCGCGGTTACGACAGATACGAAGAGGAAGATGCCCATGCCCATTCCAGCGACTACTTTGATAAAAATTGAAACCGACGCCACCTTGGATCAAACGAAAACAATGCAGGCGGTTAGCACAGTCGCAAACAATACAGGAACCGTTTTCGCCGACCAGAATATGACGCCGTTGGTGACCACCCACTTGATATACCAACATCCGCCGAATTTAATTTTATCACAGACTCCTACAGGAGAAGCTACTTCGTCGAGGTCACAAGCTACCTCGCCGGTGACTTGTCTCACTCCTCCTCCAGAGGCTCATATTCAAGAAGAGGAACCCTCCACTGTGCAAGACGCAAGCAATCAAACTGATACTCCGATATGTAGCGAAGATGACAACACCACGCATACACTTGCAGACGTCGCGGAAGAGTCTGGTATTAGGAACGACGAGATGGATAAACCGCAGGCGGATAATATCGTCGAATATTGTGATACAGCAGAGATTTTACCAGAGGCAGTTGAAGAACCTCTAAAAACTGTTGAAAAAGAGGCAGTTGTGGAAGAAGAAGCACCACAGGAAATGCTCGATCAAGTTCAGCCTGAAGTTGTTACAATGGAAGAAGAGAAAGGTGTACCTCCAGAACCTGATCTTAGCGGTTTAGAGCTTCTCTCTAATAGTATAGTGGAGTTTGAATCGTGCAGAAACAGTATCGAAGCTCCAGAACCAGAAGAGACGTCACTCTTGATGGAAAATAATGTACCAAATGCCGCAAAAGGTGTCGCTGAAGACAGTGTACTGCTACTAAATCCTCCAAAAGATGATAGTCTAGGAGGTTTAGATTTACTTTGTGCGTTAGCAGAGCAACGGATAATGGAAGAGTGCGAAAAGCCCAAAACGGACAAAGAAAGATCAAAGGACCGTAAAAGAGAAAAAAGGAAATCGAAGAAACATTCCTCAGACGAACCCAAACGCAAGAAAATGAAAAGTGATAAGCACCGTTCCGAAGACAAAGAACATAGGAAGCGAAAGGATCGGCACTCCAGCGATTCGGATAAAGAAAAAAGGGTGTGCCAGTGCCAAACCGAAAACTACAGGACGTACAAAACACCCGAATCCGAGGAGGAAGTCAAGAAATTTATAGCGAGCAAAACCCAACGGATTTGCTGCAAAGGCGATTGGCCGTGCATGAACGCCTTGGAGTTGGACATGAGAATGAAGTTGGCTGAACTCCAGAGACAATATCGAGAAAAGCAAAAGGAATTGAGCAAGTTGAAACCAAAAAGGCATTCGTCAGACTGTTCGAAGAAACGCTCTAGGAAAAAATCCACGCATTCATCCCATTCTGACAGAAGCTCGACGCCTCCTCCTCTATTGGATAAAATGGACGTACCTGTGAAACCAAATGGGGATATCTCTGAACTTCTGAAACCTCCAACTTTATGCGCGATGCCGAAAATCGAAGAGATCTGCAAGATGAGTCATTCAGATTCGGATGTATCTCCAGAGAAACACTCCTCGTCCAAGAAAAGAAAAGTGGGAAGGCCGAAGAAACTCTTGGCTTCTTCCGGAGAGCATGTTGCCACTGAAACAATAGTGGCCAAGAAACCCAAGAGTAGTTTCGTGGGTTATCTACTAGCAGCTAAGGAGAAGTTGAAATTACAAAACAAAACTTTTCCCGATGCAACTCCTCCGAGATATGTTGAGGAAACTATCAGGATCAAACACAAGAAGAATAAAAACAACAACCACATTATTGCCAGTGATATGAAATCCTCCAAGATGAGGCCCAAACTGAAAGCGGAGGCCACTTTAAAATCTTATGCTGACGATGAACATGTTGAATGGGAAACTCTAGCCGAAGATGACGAGGAAGAGAATTGCGAGAATCCAGTCGAAGAAACTATAGAACAAGAAGCTCAAGTTACCGAGTGCATGCTAAATTCTAATGAAAATGAAGAGATTCTTCCAGAAGATATCAAAATCGTTAACTCTAAAGTACCGACCACTGATGAAGTTGTGGAAGAAGTAAAACCAGAAGACACCCGATGCACGCTGACAGCTGAGCTGTTGGAGATCGATAAACTGAGAGTACTTACTGCTATGGGGGGATTGTTCTATGCCGGACAGTTGAATGCTTTGGAGCCACCAGATATCTACAGTATTATCCTAGATGGAGAAAGAGGAAACCGACCACATATTATGTCTAGAGAAGAGATACTCAGGGATGCGGTAAGTTTATTTATTAACTTGTCTTTGCATATTAGAATCATTCACTCCACTTGTAGACCATTTGAATGTCTTGAGTGTTGTTCAAAGATTGTTGACCGTGGTCTACAGGTTTTCACGACGACGTTTTGCCTGCGACTGCAATAGACATTAGCAAAGATGATAAGGAAACAGACGAATTGCTACAGTTATCCTCACCACAGATGTTACAATAACGATTTGAGATTTCGGTGCTATTTAGTACCAAAATGTATGCGAGGATTACTACAGCACTACGTCCATTGCGTTATCACATTTAATAATGTCTCTTGCAGTCCTAGACGAAACGTTAGGCAAAAAACCTGGAGACCACAGCCAACAAAACCGGAAAATATCTTAACACAATTTCGAAGTTCTCTATAAAGACTATTTCTGTAGAAATCCTTCCACTTTATCGACTACCACCATCACTATACCAAGTGCCAATACGGAATATACAGGTTAATCAAAACCTTTCTTGCTGTAACTTTAACTCAAGTCCTCAATACAGAATATAATAAATTACAATGAGAGCTAGAAAATTTGCTTTGGGTTCCACAACCCTTGAACTGCTGTCCTCAAATGAATTTCAGGTATTTCTTTTCTTGATTTCAAGAAAAAAGTTTTCATAATCCCTTGATCTTCAAATAAACTAATATAGTTTCGAATCCAGTAGTGACTTACTAAAAGGAAATTTTAGATATAAGACCAAGAACCTTCTTGTTTAGAATGTATTATTCAATAATAACGGAAATCATCAATACGAAGGAAGAATTCACATTCGATAGTGTTAAATGGCAGTAATTTAAGAAGGAAAAATGGCAACTCATTTAATGGCTTTCATCCTATACTAACTGAAATCCAACCAGTTTTTCGCTACTTCATATAGGGTGTTCCAACAGGGACTTCAGAACTTTGACAATTGATAACGGCCATCTTGTTGAAGCTACATCTGTCAAACAATATTATCGAGTTTGGAACGATACCAATCCACATGAGATCCAAAAGCGTCCAACGCATCCTGAAAAAGTTTGCGTGTTTGGTGTGGATTTTGTGCTGGCGGCGCCATTGGTCCATATTTCTTTGAGATCATGCCCGCAAATGGCCACCGAGATCGTGCAATTTGACCCCGTTAGACTCTTTTTTGTGGTGTTTTCTCAAGTCGCGAGTGTAAGCGAATAAGCCGCGAACCACAACGGTCCTCAAAGCCAACATGATCCGTGCCATCGGTCAAATTCGACGTTTCGTATGCGCTCCATTCAGAGAAACCGTGGCTGACATTTGAACGATATATTATTGCACACATAATGGCATCAATAGTTCACAAGTATCGACTATTGAAGGCGTAAGGCAGCGAAAGTTGGTAAAGAAAAATCAGATTTTAAACAGATGATCCTTTGATTGATATTAGAATTACGTAACTTTTTTGTAATTCAAACGACCTTCACATTTTGAGGATTATCGAGATGCTAACATTCTCCCATATAAAAATGCCAGCCAGCATATAAGGTTCAGTACAATATTCTAGTTCATATCTAATTAATATGGCATTCCTAATCGTCCAGTCCTGTCCTGACTCCTGCTGGTCAGGCCGATCGAACAACAATAAAACGCGACCATCTTCCATCTGGTATTACATTCTCTAGAGATTTATTATGGCTTTCTTCATCGTTCAGTGATTCCGAGCTCTCTATAAAAGTTATAAACTGCTTGTCAAGCTGGAGTTCCCCTTGAAAAAAGCTAATAAAAGAAAATCGGTAAGATATAAGATCCGTTTGAGAGATAAGTATATTTCAAAGGCGGTATCGATAAAGGAAAAAAGTAGAGCAGTTCTGAATGAAATTTAAAAGGTTGTCAAGGTGAAATAAAAAACAAAAGAAGGGTTATTAATGTACTTGTGAATATTTATGTCTGTAAATAACTTTTAAGAAAATGCAGATGCGTACTTAGTATTTTCAATTCCAGACAGTAGTCATTGTTGCAATTTATTAAGTGATGCTGAGATTATTTCTATTGATATAAAAATAAATCGTAATGATAAAATGGTAACGGTTAATCAATAATGCTTTTCTGCCTTCAGTTGGTTATGAGTACCTACTGTCAAAATTTGCACGGTAAAACGGTCATGAAAATTACTAATACGTGATTTGATTTTATGCTTATATTTTTTTAACTTTACTTGTTATTCACTTGTTCACAATTTCATGACATTGTCATAACTTTACATTGTTGAGCACCTAATAGAATTTTTAATCAATATCTATTCGATCCTTCTCTGCAACTCGCCACCACCTATTCAAACTTGTCCAAAGTTTGTTGGTCCAAAGTAGATTCATGAGATATCATGCTGTTATAATATTAATAACAATAATCTATTTCCCAAAAGACAAAATATTGAATTGGAATATCAGGATAGCAGCTAATGTAGAATATGTTTAAAAGTATGTTTAAAAAATCTTTCTCAACTCATTGCATTGTTCATTTCTCAAACATACAAAGCTTGTAATCCATGTCAGTGCATTATCTTTTACACCATAATGTATAGCCTCTTTATCAAAATATCATGATCCACACAGTCGAATGCCCTGCTGGGATCACAAAATATCCCAACAGGGCACTCTGTTGAAGAGGCGATGAGTCGTTTCCTGGTTGCACCACCCAGCCTTTTACAACAGTTGAAGAACTGAGAAGCCCTTGCTCTTGATGTAACAGGAAGGGCAAAAACTCGTATCACCTCCATTGGTAAAACCCATCCAGCAGGGGTGTTTTAATGTCACCCGTTGCAGGGCGGGCTATTTAGTGTAAGAATGCTTTTATTATGAATGTCAAAGTCATCAATAATAATCCTCACCTGAGCCATAAACTGACAGGTCTGTCTGTATGTAGCCAGTCTGTAATCAGAATTCGGTTTGGGTTGAAAGTGTATTTCGGTAGTGGATTTGGCTCCTTCGGAATTGTAAGATGTAAATAGATTTAGCTCAAAAGTATCTCCAATGTTGCTGTGGTTGAGGTTTTCATTGCTCTCACCTAGGCAAATCCTAGCCCCCAGCTTGTCTTGGTCATTATGTTGAACGCCGCCGCTCGTTTCGTGTATGCATCGTAATAGTTCCGCCATCGCTCGGTCGTTGCCATTTTCATGCCTGCAGCCTCATAGCCTATACTTTTGTGTACTGTTTATTTCTGGGTGTTCATTTTTATATAATTCATTGAGACCCGAGGTTCTTTTAAAAATATCTTGTAGAGTTAGTTTAGTACTTCCACGAGTTCGTTCAACTTTGTCATACCTATTACCTTCTCTAAGTCTTAGTCTTTCGAAGGTTTTGTTGTATTCAGTTGAGATCTTTTGTATTGGTTCTATGTACTTGATATCTTATCTTGATTAGGTTTGAGTAAGGATAGCTGAACACTGCCATCGAAAGCAGGAAGGTCACCTCCCCACTATCCATGTTCCATCAGAGAGTTCTTAGATACCCTTTTTCTGGTCATTGGTTTGTAAGAGAGGATGCAATTAATGGCCCGCTAGCATTGTTTTTTCTTTGGGGGCACTTAAAAATTCGGCGTTCTTCAACATTTTCCTTAATATTATAAACGAATAATAGGTCCTTAACAATGTTGGAACAATATTTTAATGATCGAATAATACATTTTAAAATGAAGCAACAACTATGCAAAATACCTAATACCTATGTCTACACAAAACTAGAATATTTGAATTACTTTAATGCCCTTACTTTATTTGGAGCGTTTGGATATGATACATACACCAGAATAGAGACATTGTTTGTAATGTATTCATTGGAAAACAATTACATACATGATAAACTGTATGTATACTATCGACTGAGTTGAGTACGCTCTACTATAAGCGTTATAGTTGTTATCAATTGCACGTTTTTCAATTTTTTGATTTTCATCATTTCATTTAAGATTGTCGAGGTAGCACCTAAAAGTACAGAAGACCTGCCGGTCGGTACAAGGCTATGTGCTTACTGGAGTCAGCAGTATCGATGCCTCTATCCAGGAAGCGTGGCCGAACCTGGCACTCCCAATCCGCAGCTCGATAGAAAGTTCGTGTCAGTGGAGTTTGATGATGGGGACAGTGGTAGGATAGCTATCGAAGACATCAGATTTTTACCATCCGATTATCCTATTATCGGTAAGTCTGTATTCAATATACATATTACATAATACAATTAGAAACATTTGTTCAATATTTAATGCTCGCTGTCCGTTCGTTTATATAGACTGTATATTCTATGGAAGTGCAGAATTATACTCGCTTATGAAAGTTGTATGATTCGACGTTTTGGTTTTCAAGAAGGTACTCCATTGAGACCCCAATCTGCCTTTTCCCCGGGTTTCTTCACTGGTCTCCTGAAAGGTCTCAATTTGCCTACTCCCAAGCGTCGACTGTGGTTTCACAGTGACTGACTGACTAATGTATTTATTCAAATTTTTGGGGTTAGTGTTAGTGTTTACAAGGTATGTTTATGGTGGGACCCTGCTTTGGGTTTATGCCTCTTCAGGGTAACAGTTATGTATCTTATAATCTATGTTAGTATTATGTTACTTTTTCCTTTGTTTGTTCGTTTGGGTGTCCTGGTCCATAACGGTGGGTCGTTGTTTGGGGGGTGTTGGTTCGTGATGAGCCTGGGGTGGTGTGGTCGATAGTTCATGATGTTCTTCAAGGTATTCTAGGGCGTGGATTTTTCGCTATCTGATAGCCAATGGATATTCTTCTAGGATGTTCTAGATCTGCTCCGGAGGGTCTTTCAGCAGCCCCAGGAGTCTGGCTGGGGGGAACGGGAGCTTTTTCCTTGGTATCCTTCTGGCGCCTCCGCGGGGCCTCAATGGGGAAGTCAGGGTGGCGATGGCCGCGGTGTTGTGGCTACTCATGGTTCTCAATGCGTATCTGCTCTGGAGTTCCTGAAATCTCAGATTGATAGGTGTAATATAAATTTGGTTATATAGGTCTTGGGAGGGATATCTGAATGGAAGGTTGTGGATATTTCTTAGGATTCTTTTCTCGGTTCTTAGTATACGTAGGATTTGATTCTGGGAGAGGGTGCAGTAGAGCGCGGCTTTATGGTCCATGATAGGTCTTATAAAGGTTTTGTAGGTGTGTAAGAGAGTCTTACTGTTACATCTGCTGAGTTTGCCTCTCAGCGCTTTTAGGAGATTTCCCTTTTCCTGACTTTATCCAGGGTTTCTCTGAGGTCGGTCTCCCATTTGAGGGTCCTCGTGAAAGTGACCCCCAGGAGGGTCCACAGGCTCTGGTCTGGTATTTATGTCTCTGAACGAGTGGAAGGGCGGATCAGTAGGAGCAAGGTTGGTATTGGTAGTGGGAAGTGTTGTGAAATGTAGGCAGATTGGGAGTAGATAGATTGAGGCTCTTGCAGAGACCAGTGACGAGACCTGGGAAGTAGGCAGATTGACACCCCAGCGTCAAGTCACAAAACCCTCGAAGCGTATCACTACCTGAGGAATAGGCAGATTGAGAGGAAGCATTCAAGTAACAAGTTAGGTTACAGATTATATTTTGTTCAATATGGTTCAGATATGGTTGGTTTGAATATTACTGGAGTTTTTTCCCAACACCAAGCCATTATTTTCAACACCTCGACACGTGTTTCGATCACCAAGTGATCATCTGCAAGAGGAAGATCGAACTCCTCTCGAAGATGATCACTTGGTGATCAAAACACGCGTCGAGGTGTTGAAATAACGGTTTGGTGTTGGGAAAAACTCCAGTAATATTCATTACTTCACTAAAGGTTCCAAACAGTGCATAGTTGGTTTCATTAAAAATTCTGATGTTAATAACACATTAGACAATCATCATTCTTCAAAGGATGCAATATTTGAATTTGGTCTCAAGACATTAGTTTTTCCTTTGGCAACAAGTGGCTGACAACTGCTGATTATTATAACCTCTAGTGGTCTTTTCCCTAACAGAAACCATCTTTGAGCCTACAATGAATTTTCCTCTGAGCATGTGAGTGTGTGTGTGTGTGTGTCAATTAAAATCTCCCTTTTGACATTTTGTTTGTCTCATTTTTTTCTCTGATTTCCTTCTGAAGGACTTTTGCAGACCAAAATTGCTAAATGATCTGAGTTCCATGTTTTAACTTTGGGGTTTTTTCATGCTAACCAGTCCAACTCCTCTTGACATTGCCCTGTTTTTTCACTTTCTCAAAATTTTCATTTTTGGCACTTAGCACCATAAACAATTTCAGTCTTCATTAAACTCTGTCTTCAGTACGAGATGTGCACATATTCAAATTTGCAATATTGAAATTTACATCACTGACTAGTTCATTTCAAGTCATAAGATTGGTTTTTGCCTTTTGCATAGTTGATCAATTTCTTCTCAGTTGCAATATGGTGGAATTATCGAGAGCCTATCATTATAAGTATTTGAAACATCATGCCAGACTTTCTCAAATATGAGACGCTCGTAAAATATCACCATTTGACGAGATGAGAAAATGTTTCATTTGTATTGCATCAAAATAATCCCTTCTTAGATAAAAATATATTAACCACTATTGGACATCAAAATGTATCCAAACTAATACAGTTAGGAATGTGTTCGAATACTCAACAAAAGTTTGAATCTTACCTGGTTATGAAATGAAAACAAATCAAACATTTTTTGTTGGTTGATGATTTTTGGGGCGAACAATTACTTTATATTTTGATTAACATTTTATATTGTTTTTCAGAATATGACCCAAACCCACTTCTCAGTCTGTGTAAGAGACGGAGAAGGGCTTCAACAAGCGTATCAACTGAGGAAAAAAGTATTTCAAAGCTGAACCAACATATAACTATATCTTTACCTCAACCAGAGTCTCAAGTCAGCTTAAAAGGTGCTGAAGATCAGAAGGAACTAAACAATACTGGCGACAGATACAAGGAGAAGAAACGTTTGAAGAAGAAGAAACGAGAAAAACTTCGACAGAAACTCATGCACCAAGATAAAAAGAAAAAGAAGAAGCATAAATGTAATGATGAAACGTGCAAACATCGTAAACATCACAAGAAGCATAGGAAGCATAAGAAACACCACGATAAAATCAAATCTCTTGAGAGAGAACTGAATGTGATAGAAGAAAAAGATGAGAGCGTAGATTTACAGGAGGAATGCGGAGAAGAAATTGATATGATGGAGATTTCGTCCGAAGTAAATGAAGTGGAAAACATTGAAGAATATCCAAATGATATTGCGAATCCTGAAGATGAAGTGACAATGGACGATATCATTGAAGCTAACTCACAGGTAATATACTAAATGATATACTTTAAATTGATTGATGAGTTTGTAGAATTTCATACAGTAAATTATTAGTAGAAAGCTAACCTACTTTTTTTTTCAAGAAATCCAAGAAGATACGGGATCGACAGGAATCTTGTGAGAGTAGAAGTAAAATGACCGCTTTTCTTCCTGCGAGACAGCTGTGGGGATGGTCCGGTAAGGGATACAAACGTCAGAGAGCAAAAGGCAGATCCAAGAAGTCGTTTTATAAGTCCATCCAACGCGGGAAAGAGATAATAACTGTATGTATTTTTGTCATTTATCTTCCGGATTTTCGGATTCCCTCCTCAAATGTAATAAAATTTGTTTTTCAGACCACTCATGTCTGAATGTTCAGTTAGGTCGTCCAACTTGACTCAGATAATAATAGAAGACACTATATTACTTTTATTTATTTATGAGTATTTTTATAAGAAATGTGCGAGATTGTATGACCCTAAATCATTTGCTTTTTCTGTAAATCATTCAATTTCTTTGAGAATTCAAATACAGACTGACCATCTGCAAAATATTAGGTTTTTCAATTGCAAATCATGCAATAACACTTTTATGAAAATCAATGATTCACTTCTTTCAGAGAAGGAGAAGAAACAATTCATCAATTTCTAGAGGTCTACAATAAATCCGTAACTTTCTTTTTTTTTTGAAAAATCAGTGAAATTTTCAGTGTATATAACAAATTTTATTACACATTCGAATTCAAATGATCTGGCTTGATTGGAGTTATTGAAGGTGTCAAAAAGGTAAGCTGTTCTTCTGGAGCATACATAGCCAGCCGTACCGTATTCATTGAATTTTTAAAAATATTCACATCTCTATACCATCCCACAAATACGTTTCTTTGAAGATGATTTTTGGTCATGAAAAATGGATTTCATTCGATATTTTGCAGTGGCCCAAAATTATTTTGGAGTTTCTTTCATGTTGTATAGTTTTCATAGGATGAATAAATTGCATTTCTTTGTTCTAAGTGGCTCTTGATAAGTAACTTCTTTTGTGAATTTTATCAGTTCGGATTTCTATTGTCTAATATCCCGAAGACAATTGTGGATACTAACAATTGTGGATACTAACAATCGAAACGTCGTGAAGTAACTCCGTTTGAAATCTTTCAATTGTTCTATTTATTGCTTAATTTTCGTTTTATTGTAATTTCATTTCAGGGTTTTTGCTTAATATAATTGTTATTTTCAGTTATTCACTTTAATTTTCAATTTTATTTTTTCTTTCAGGGATTTCAAATCATATATCATATTAGACAATGGAAGTCCTAACTAATGAAATAAATTGTTTAAAATGTATTGAAAAGGTCAGAAAGCTCAAAAAGTGGATGCCCAACGTCCGACAAAAATTGTCACGTTTCGAAATCTGTTCTTCTTTGCTTTTACGCAACCAAAACGATTTTTGTTTGTATCTCTCACCAATTGACTACCATCTTTCCAAGCACTTCGATAACTTTCTCATCGGTAGAACATTCGCCAATCAGGATCAGGTGGAAACGGCTTTTGTCGACTTCATCTAATCCCTAGTACGCACTTATTATGCTGACGGAAACAATCGGCTTATGTTACGTTGGCAAATGTGCACTGATTCAAATGCCGCGCATTTTGTTTGAATTGAATATATACTGGTATAATATAGTTTAGAGTAGACTGATAAAAACGGACAAAACTTTTCAAACAATCTAATATTTACTTCATTTTCAATTATATTTTCAGCAGAGCATTGTTTATTATGTTTTTCACGTTACTAAAATTCCATAATAGTAGGCACTGAATTCTCAGAAATATTACTGCATTGAAACGAAAACATTGTTGTCGGGTTTTGATATTATATATTTTATCATATAATTATATATTAGTATAATTTTCGTACGCCACTGCAAGAGACAGATTAAAGCAAAAAGGTCACAGGCATTCCTGAGAATTTAGTGTCTATTATTTTGTAATTATATTATATCAACATCAAATTAACGTTTCCCTATGGTAGGTATCATGTTCAAAAATTTCAGTAGGTTATTTCACTGGGAAATGCATGGAAACATGTCATGAACGTACAATCTCCTCATAAAACTGTTGATATAACAAATGCCATTTTCGAAGTTCTTGGTATAATTAAATTCAACACAATATACTTCAATTTTTAGCAGTTTTGAAACTGAAATTTGATTCAAACCACACAACGGAACTATGTTTGTTACAAGAAAATTGAAAATATTTCTTGGAAATCACAAATGCACATTGAACTTTTTGAATTTTCATCTTCATAACATGCATCTTCACTTCATTTATCATAATTAGCGATTACTCTAATATATTTAAACAAAATGTTTTCTAGTGTCTTCTACCGAAATAACTGTTCTTATTAAAAATGCATGAGTTATTTTCACACTTTCTAATTGATTTGAACATATCGTCCTTGAAAATTACTAGATATGTCAATACTTTTTCGGTGATCCAGAAGATCTTGAAATATCAAGAAGATAAAAACCTCAAATAATGAAGTGATTCTCTACACTGAGTGTATTTCAGATTATTTATTGTTACGTTTTTTATTTCTCAGTAAATTTCATAGCTTGATCATTAAAACAATTATTTAGTAAAATTGTTTTTGAATAATGGCAGTTGACTAGTATTATTCTTTATTCTTCATTTTTGATGAATATTCAAGATATTGATAGTCAGTAAATAAATATTTCAGTCACAAAAAAGGAAATGAACGTTTGCTTTCTTCTCAAATTCAGTGAGTAACATTGGCACTGTTTCGTATTCTTTCATTATTATCATCATCAATTTTATATATGTAAAATCTGTTCAAAAAAATCAATCTCAATCTTTCAAATAATTGAACGCAAACACAAGAATCATACTGTTTTGTTTTCAATTTCTATCAACCGAATATTTGTGAGGCATTACTTCATCTTTGATGGTTTAATTTGGAATTGTGGAAACACTTAGGGTGGGCCAAAAAAAATGGATAATTTTATTCCACTTTATACTCTGAAAAATAGCTTGTAAGACACCTCAAAAAATTCTCTCCAAGTATGAGTTCTTAATTTTAATTGGAATGACATCCGCCTGTCAGTTTTTTATTTTTTCCTTATTATTTGAAAGAAAAATTCTTAACTCGGTATTTACTATTTGAAAAAAATATTTCGTCTCATTAATTCATATTCTACATATTGTACAAAAATGTTCTCCTATAACTTTTTGTAAACCTCACCGTTCAAAAATTATTAATGGTTGCCGTTTGATTATTTTCAGTCAGATTTCTTTTCTCTTATGGTTTTCATGATTAGTGGATTAAATTAACCATTTGAAAGATAATCATCGTCAAACTTCAATGCACATTAATTTTAACAATTTTTGATTAATTCGAACAATTAATTCGAATTATGAGTTTCGAGGAAATTCATATATAGGTAGGATCGAAGCTATGTGGGAGCTTTGTGGAACCATGGTTGTCAAAGTCAAATGGTTTTACCATCCTGAAGAAACAGTGGGATGTCCACAAAATCTGCAATATCCTGTAAGTTCATTTTTTTCAGATAATTCATTGAAATATTTGACGCATGAAATACTGGTTTAGTAGAAAAGTCAAAACAAAATATTTGAGAGATGTTGCATTCTGAAAAAAAAAGTTGTGAAACATTATAAGGAATCAAAGAATACGTTTGATGTGATTTCTTGAGGTTGGATAAATACAGCAACAAATTTGATTGAGAAAATTCTTTCATTCTGTCAAGAATATATACCTATATTTAATGAATATCTGTAGGTTAGTTAGATTCTGTAATTTCTACACACCAACGATTATGTTTCCTTACTTACTGCTTATAATCCATAAGTTATAACTTATGATGCACTGTTTGGAACATTTGGTGTAATAATAAATATTACTGGAGTTCTATCCCAACACCAAACCTTTATTTTTAACACCTGGAAGATTGAACTGTTTAATCTCCCTCTTGAAGATGATCACTTGGTGATTGAAACATGTGTCGAGGTGTTAAAAATAACGATTTGGTGTTGGGAAAAAACTACAGTAATATTCATTACTTCACTAAAGGTGTATGCATAAGTTTTCACTTATCACAAATATGAGCAAAAAAGTTGTGTCAAATTCTAAGCATACGTATAATTCTTGATTTTAATGTTGTGAATGAATGAGACAAGTTCCACTATTTATAATAACATAGTCAATCAACAAATCTTTGAAGAGATCTCTACAGTATAAGAATGAGGGGTAATAGTTAGGCTTGGTTTGAAAAGTATTTAAAAAATAGACAGTATGGATACATAGGGGGACAATAAGAGTATTTCTTGTGCTGTTCCACAGGTTTCTATTTTGGAACCTGTATTGTTTCTGACATACTTATAGGATCATTAAAATTATATGCAAATGTTATGACTTTCTTCTATTTTTGTGATAGTGAACCAGAAATTAGAAACGACATCGAAAGAGATATGAATATTTTTTGTTCTTGGTTTGCGACTCATAAACGAGAAAACCTCTTTTGTGTATATATCCCAAATAAACATTTTTCAAACAAAACAATTAGTTATATGTATGACCATCAGTTCCGTCACACCCCCATACGACTGAGAGGAATGATATTTGAACGGGCTAACCCAATAATCATTGAAGGTTATCGGGATATACATCCAGTGGGGTCCAATGACAAATGGACGAGTCCATGGCAAAATATAGTGATACAACAAAATTTCTTTGTCTAATGGTCGAATAATACAATTTCTTAACTTATTGACGCTCTTTACCTACATATTGTGTCAGTATGTTTAAATTCAATGTTTAAGAAACATAAATATTCATCTTTAGTTTATTCTAAATTGCATTCAGCTTGCACAACAACATTAAAACCATTTATATATTTATAGTTTGGAAGTATGCACCTTTCTGCAGTCTGTTATAAAGAATAAAAAATATTCCAATATGAAATTTATAGAATATAGAAATGTACATGATCATCAAACAAGACAGCTCAATAATTTGTTAACTAAAAAATCTCAAATCTGCATTTTCTAGAAAATCTATACTTTGCAAAGGATCAATTGCCTATAATGAATTATCAAAAGGCATAAAAAAATTATAACACAGAAAAATTCAAAATGGTATTGAAGAAATAATGGCCATTATCTATAATCAAATCAGGCAAATTTATTATATGTGTTTAAAACAGACTTTGTTAAGCAATCTATTTCAAATTATGGAATAAATACATACAAGTACTTACTAAAAAACAATATTTTCCAATGGAGATAGATGAATTCAAAAATTCTCTAAAAAAGTTCACGCTGGATAGCTATAGCAAGTATAACAATTTACAACCATTAATTATTTTTTGTAAGTAGAAATTTTTTCACCGTTATTTCACACTTTAACGTAATTTGTTTCTCGATATAAACTCAGGATGTTTCTTGTGAATGATAAAGTTATTAATTTTTTTTCCAGGGGGCGCTGTTCGAATCTCCTCACGTGGACGAAAACGACGTTCAGACGATCGCTCACAAATGTGAAGTCTTACCTTTGAAAGAGTATACGGAACGTTTGGGTGATGACCCTCAAAGGTATGCCACCATCTACGATAACAATGACATCTACTACCTCGCTGGATATTACGATCCGACAACTCACACTATCAAAATAGAACCTGGCATACCCTTTACCAGAACCAATTAATATCAACAACAGCAATAAAACTACTTCAATGATAGTGATTTTCGGTGCTAAATGATTATTCAGACTTTTTGAAACTATATGTTAAGTTTTCGTTGTGTCTTCACAACACTTTTTTTATTCGCTGTGACAATTTGTTAGTATTTCTTATTATTTATTTAGTTGTTTGATACAATTGCTTCATCATTGCAATAAGGAACACAGTACAATTTATACACAGTCTTTAATTGTTGGATGTTAGATTCAGGTATCGCAACATTTCTGGAATTATTTTTTATTTGTTAGTGCGTATTGTGTATTTGCGTAGTGCTACCACTCTTTCTTGCTGACAATAGTGAATGAATTCACTGTAATTGAAATAAAACCTTAAAAACTTTAGAAAATAGATGGAGATTTTTAAGATTTTTAATCAATAAAATTCAAATAAATGAAAGCTGAAAATATAAAAAAAAAGATGACATTGTTTATCAAAAAATGTATCTTATCGACAAACCCAAGTCACAATAAATGAAATGGAAGTTAGATTAAATAAACGGTAATCTAATAAAATTGGATAGTGGAGTACATCTTCTCTAGTTTTGTTTAAACGTATTATTCAGCAAAAGTAGGAGATATTAAAATTCAGTGAGTTGAAATCAGAGGTGCAGAATAAAGTATTGAAATTCAGAAATACCGGAACAAATCAATAAATATCAAAGTTGCTGCTACAGAGTAGAAAACAACTGGAAAAAGATCTAAAAGGTTTTTTTGCAGAGGTCTCTAAGAAGAAATTAGACTGAAATCTGAAGAGGATATTGAAAACTGCCAGTCAGAATCAAATTCCATACGTTGAATTTGAAAATTTTTGAGAACCAGTAAAATTTGTTTTGATTCATATTAAGAAAAGAAAATTATGTTATTTTGTTGAAAATATATTATTCACTCCTGATTAAAGCTATGAGTGAAGTGTGGTAGTTGTTTCATTATGTACCACTGAAATTTCAAGTTTGTGTTCAATTTTTTTTTAATAATTCATCACTAATGAAAGAGTAGTAGCAAAACGATATCACCAGCTTGAAAAATTCTGATTTGCGGTATCAAAATGGTTTATACATTAAAAACAATACATAAATATCACAAATGAACTCATATTTTGAGAGTACTTAAAGTTTCTGGTTAAAATTTTGAAGAAAAAAATTATGTTAGTTCACACTACTATTCGTAAATCATAAACTGACTGAAGTGAAAACAAATTAATCAAGATTGAGACAGAATATCCAGAGAGGAGATGAAAAGAGAAATGGATGGTCAGTAGTCAATGATTCAATTACGCAGTCTAAAATAAAACAATACCTCTTTTATATAAGAAATGTTCATAGTTTTTAAAACTTACCTAAAATAAAACACCAAGTCAAATTTACACTTATACAAAGTGTAAGTGATACAATCCAAAGGGACAATTTCATAACTAACAGGATTGCTGAGATTTTATCTACAATTAGTACTTGACACGATGAAACTCTTCAAAATAGTTCTAAGAGAGCAAAAATAAAGAATGGGAACAAACAAAAAACTCAAACGTACTTCTCGAACGCTACATGCTCGACAAAATATTTCATTTAATCAAGTACAAATTAAGGCAAATAGTTGAACCCTGTTCAATGTTTTGGGTTGTTGGTATTGTGAAGTATATGGTAATTGTGACTGGACTGCAGAACGTGAAAATGAATAATGATCTCCTCAATTTGGAAAAGGGAAATTCTGCCTCAAGAGATACAATACATAAGTAAATTCATCTTATACATGAATATTTGAAATAAAATGTGAACTACATTTGAAATAAAAGCCAGTGATAAGTTGCACATATATAATTTCATTAGCTTGGCACTATGTAGCTTTTAAAAGTATTTGTAAGTTATAACCATTATTTTACCTGGAGAAGAATTTGTAGATTTCAAAAGTATTTTATATATTATGTATGTCTGTGAAATTTTCTATCAGTCTACTATAGTGAGCAAAACTCTGTAAATACTACATACATTTAGAGATTATAGAGTATATATTTTAGTATGGGACTAATAGCAGGTCATAAACGTCTCAACCAATTCCAAGGGATACAAAATTCAATTGAATACAATCAATTCTAAGAACTTTTGGACTGTTGTAAGGGTGCCTAGTTTTGTATTTTTCGACTAAATGACTGATTGCTATTGGTCTTCTCATTTGTATTGGAGTCACAAAAGCTTTTAATAAACAAACAAAAAATGATTTATTGAATTCGTAACTCGGGAGATTCACTTCGAATTAGTGTCAACCAGTATTCGAAAGCTTTTGTGCAATTTTATGTGTATAAAAGTCCTGAATATGTGCAATGTTGTCCAACATAAGTAGAAAAAATAGTTTATAGAGATGCTTAAAAGCTTTTCATATTGTAACAGTAATTAAATCTCCAAAGATGTATTATCACTCGAATTAAAAGTATAATTCTTCCAGAGTAACGTTTAATATACATTACAAATTACGCTTATCAAAAATCAACTTAGTGTTTAGGTCCGTAGAGATTTCTACAGCAACGTTTGTTTTACTCATTATGATTGTTTTTACAATGTAACATTCTCCTGGGAGCAGCTCATTTCAAGGTAATCAAGTATGATTTTCTCGATATTTGATGACTTGTAACAGGAAAACATTTCTCATTGAATGTCACGTCACATTTTTTATACTGTTGAAAAGTATATGTAAATAAACGATTATGATTCTTTATAAGAATAAGCTTATCCTAATTACATTATATTCCAAGAACAGACATTTTTATTCTTATGTTGATATAACGTTCTTATTTTAGTAAAGGTTCAAGTTGGTTCAGGAAACCAACTAGTTCCGAAACAGTATTTTGCAGACTATTCATCTATCAGCTCGTTTGAGGAAGAAACAAATTGTATACTTATTTTAAAACAAATGCTATTTATTTCAATAAGCCTAAGTTTGTAAAATAAACGTTAAAAATATTAGAATAAAACCTATTTTATTACTAATGCATTTTATATGTATAAAACTTTATTTTTGACATTATTCCTTGGGTGTTTCATGGTGCTACTTTGAAACGACTCGTTTCAATATAGATTCTCGAGGAATGGAATTGTAAATAGTTATACATAGTATTGTAAATATCGCTTGATCTGAAATATTGAATATACTTTTGAAAAGACTAACAGTTTTTCATTTCCCTACCCTGAATCAATAAACCTGATGCCGAAATATTAAAGCACAAAAAAAACTAGTTACGGTTGATCGGAATATGGAATTTCATAACTCAAAACAATCCACAGCTGAAAATGAATAAAATGATGAAACTGAAAAATGACACTATATACTCAACTTCTGAGAGTTGTCATTCGTATGGGGGCGACAGCTGATTAACGGAAAAACAGATGTTAAACAGATTTTTTTAAACAGTGACACATAGAATAATACCTTTCAAATAGGTATCAGGCGGTTTCGTATAATGGTGTTACATCAGATTTTCAACCTGTTGTGCACGGTGTTCCAACAAGGTTCAATACTTGGGCCCCTGCTCTTTGTTATTTATGTTAATGACGTATGTAATTTCATGTCTGCCTATAAGTCCATTCTCTATGCAGATGACAAAACTTTAATAATCAATCATCATCTAACATTCCACAAGTAATGGAAGAAGCCAACACTTGGTTTCTTGCAAATAAATTGAAGTTGAATAGTGACAAAACTCAAAATCGAGTTCACCACTGTAGGTTCAGCTAACAAAAGTATAAAATTACTTGGCATTACTCTCGACAGTACTTTATCTTGGCCTCAACATACAGATACTACAAACATGAAAATGTAACGTAGTTAATAAAGTATTATATTCTATTCTAGGTCACTTCCACATATAACGCTTCAAAGTAGTTTTAAAAGTAGAGATAGATGTTCATCCTGAATAGATTTGGTTAATTTATTGAAAGTACCCCAAATATTCTCTAGTTTTAGGAGCAACTTTAGCATCTGCGGCACATGAAAATACTTTTTGGTATTTGGTAGCTGACATCCACTGATAACAAGTGCTGAAAAAGGATGCATCTATTGCAATATGATAGATGCTCGCAACACAGTTGTGAAATANGTTTTAGGAGCAACTCTACCATCTGCGGCACATGAAAATACTTTTTGGTATTTGGTAGCTGACATCCACTGATAACAAGTGCTGAAAAAGGATGCATCTATTGCAATATGATAGATGCTCGCAACACAGTTGTGAAATACCTCTCATCACTGCTTAACCTACTTATCGGACGTACGAGCATCTTTGTTACGGATTACATAAATTTTGTTGAAAAATTTGAATAACTCCAGCCTGGGGACCACTCTTCACCCCATGTGGCCCTACCTGAAACTCAATTCACATTCTGCGAAGTCTCTTCCCGACAGATATCATCGACTGTTTCAAACAAGTGCTGACATCCACCTATTTCAAATGAAATGACACATTCTATAAACAGATTGACGGTGTTATCATGGAAAGCTCTCTCAGTTGGATTCATTCCACCCAAAAATCCAGTTCACAGTTGAGGTCGAAGAGGATAACCAACTTCCCTTTATAGACGTCTGGGTGTCCAAGAAACCAGATGGTCGACTGGGACACACCCACGCATATGGACAGATATCTACACTCCAGTTCTAATCACTATCCAGGATGAAAGGAGCTGTTTTCAAGTCTCTCGCTCAATGAGCCAAACGCGGATTTATGACTCAGTGAACCTCTAAACTGATAAGCAACATCTGCTTCAGGTTCTACAAGCCATCGGATACAAGAAACAAGATATTATTAGAGCATCCAGGCAAAACAAATCCAACAAGCTGAGCCATTCTTGACTATATTCTCAAGGTTACTTCTTGAGAAACACTTGAGTGATAATCCATGCCACCGCTCGCTCAAGGATCATAAAGATCATATTTCCAATGCAGGTTTTTACCAGGTTTCATGCTCCTCCTCAGTGTGAGTTGTTACCTATCCAAGGAGTGTGAGAACCTATATGTGTGTGGACAGTTTGAAAAATCTGCAGTCGCTGAACATGCACTATAAGAAGACCACGAGATATAATTTAAAAAACAGTTGTGCTCCACACCACCTGCCACTATTGCATGCGTCTGAATCATGATGCCATAGAGATTTATCAATATGGGAACAACTTTAAACCTGACAATGCCCAATCTAATCAGGAGAATTCTCCTCACCACTCTCTATCTGTAAAAATCACTGACACACTACATAGGGTCTCATTAACGAGGAGGTCGCAAAGCATTGCTGCCAACCACCGCTCTAGATGCCCATAGTAATTATAGGCGGAACATTCGAAGTTAATCTCTCCGTTGGACCACAGCTACACAGCACACGTAACCAAAATTCGAGATACAAAATAGTTTCACAGAGTATTATAGAATGTTCATAATGTCCATTTGTCCAGATACTTCGAAATCCTACAGTGATTGTTCAATTTGAAAGAACTAGTTTTGATTATATAGTCGGCATGATTGTCATAAAATAACTTTTATTTTTCTTTAAGTTTGTGCATGATCTAAACATCTTTGTAGAGAGTTCATTTTTGAAATTAATTGCTTCCTTCCATTCTTTGGAAGATTCCCACATTTTCTGTATCAAGATGGATAAGTAGAAAGCCAAAACCTTTCTTTCCCAAAAATTCAATTATGACTTCTAAGTACTTCATTTTTTCCATCATTACTTACATTTACCAAAATAATGAAGACTGTATCGAAACATTCATCTCTCCCAACGTACCTACACAGTAGTATCTGGTAAATACCTGCCGGAAAACAATTACTTTCCCGTCCAATGCCACGCTGGACATTGAATTATATCCAACAGACACTTAAGCAAGATACCTCACAGTCTGTTGGATATAATTCAATGTCCAGTTGTCCAGCGTGGTTTTAGCCGGGTAAATAGTGTGTAGGTAAGTTGGGAGAGATGAATTTTTAAAAACTTCGTTTCCAAATATTTATTTTCATATGCCCCAAATTTATTTTACTATTCAAACTGCACAATCTATGAATATATACAAGTGTATGAATTATAACTTCCACCACTTGATGAAGAGAAATGTATCATCTGCTAATAAATGTATTGTACAATTACCTGCAACCTGTATAGTTTCATTGATGTACAGTGAAAGAAGACCCTAATACTATTCTTTACAGAATAAACAGATTATTATCAATCAATTGCTCAAAATTTTATGTTTTTCAGTTTGAATGTCAGTCTTCTTTTTCCAGATAACTAGTCACTCATAATAAACATCACCTACTATACCAAAACCTACTAATTTACTAATTAACATTTTTCGATCCAACTTTGAAGGCTCTTTTTGAATCCAGAAAGACTGCTATTTATTTTCAGCCTTAATCGAATCATCTAGAACACACTGTGTGGCTGCTTCGTAATTGTGTTTCTTAGTTGATTACTTTCTAAATGTTGGATCAGTTTTTCATATACCAAGATTTCTAAACATATTTCTATTGTGCATAGACCATTAGAAATTCGAAGAACTGTTTTTTTTTAACTACTGTACTTCAAGAATGGTTCACTATTGTCGATATTTTTGCGTATTTATGATGTTTAATTGAAAGAGGATTTGCAACATTAATAAACAGTTTAGGAACCCAACAATTATTTCATATGGGCTTTATTTTTCTTTTACAGAAAAAATAAAATTTTTCATTCGGTCTTTATACTCACTAATGAAAATTATCACATTGTACTGTGAATATAACAGTAATTATTTTATCTACATAGTACTTGTTGGAAGCATTAACAAATATATTATTATATTACGAAGGGTTCAACGAGATCCTGCAAAGGATCCAAAATATAAATTTTATCATCCTAAGAACTTTCATCACGAATTTTTGAAGGATATGTGTCTTCTCATTTCTCATGAGGTTTCAAATACTCATCAATCGATAGTGACTAGGAGATGAACTCACATAGTTCATAGGTATTTATGTACTGAATTGTTCTGTTATATCTCAAAAGGATTGTTTGTTTGAAATATGTTCTTTCCGTTGACTAGCTGTCGCACCCCTACAAACGACAACCTGCAGAAGTTGGAACTTGTGCGAGCTAAGGACTAACGAGGTCTTACCTTTTAATGTGTGATTCTCAACACGGGTTGGACGATATTCTTAGACGTCTTCAAGGCGTTCGACAGAGTTTGGCATGACGGACTTCTGGCCAAGATGAGCAATTTTGGCTACACGAAACAAAGGGTAAGATTGATCGAGTCGTTTCTAGCTGACAGGCGATGCTGCTGCAGAGTAGGGCAAGAACTCTCAACCATGCGACTACTGTAAGCAGGGGTCCCACAAGGTGCAGTCCTTTCGCCACACCTCTTCTCGGTACACATAGCAGACGTGCCCAAGTCTGAGAACAACTTTAACAAGTTGGCATCCTACGCGGACGACACAGCTCTACTGGCGAGATTAACTAGCCATGCGCAAGTTACCAGATACTTGCAACAGCTGGCGGATATATTAGACCTTTGGAAGATTAGCATAAACCCTGACAAGGGTCAGGCAATACTAGTCACCCGGAGAATGGTACTCCCGGAAAGAAACGTCACCTTCAACGGACAAAAGATTCCGTGGAACAACGAAGCGAAATACCTGGGAGTCACTCTCGACAGAAGACTAACGTTCAGGACACAAGTACGGCAGAGAATATGGCTAGCGAGAGCCTCCAGACAAAACCTATATCCAATTATAGGTCGCAGAAGCAACATGAGACTCCACGTAAAACTGCTGCTAATCAAGACAGTACTACTCCCAATCATCCTGCATGCCTGCACTTCCTGGGGCCAGTGCGCAGCGACATACAGAAGCAGTATCCAGACGTTCATGAACGGTTGCGTGCGAGCCGCCGTAAACGCTCCAAAATACATACCTATTAGATACATATACCGAGTCCTGAACCTGAATGTCCACTACGTAGACGCGTATATGAGAGAACACGCAGAAACGTGTTCGAAAGAGTTCGATCACACAATAGTCTAGCTCTTCGCAATCTACACGAAGTACTCAACAGAAAAGACCCAAGATTCCGAGAGAGACAAACATAGAAGGCCAACGAAGCAGAATCAGAGACCAGCCCCAGGAGTCGCTATCAGGCGGCTCCGGT